ACCACGGGTATCGAAACCCGGATTCTAGCGTTGTAAGTCCGCAGACATACCGCTGTACCACTGGGGGGCTATTCATTAGTTAACTAGGCCGTGTATTTTGTTTTACCTACCCCAAGTAGAACAAAAACCGCGGCCGAACTAATGCATGAATAATTGCTGTAAAATTCTTATCAATGCTATAAGTGTAGCTATCAGTTTAGTGGTCAATTTTGATTTCATTTCTTAAGTTGCATGCTCAATCTGTTTTTTTGTTTTTTTGCCGCACCTTTTTTCTTCGTACATAAGGCGTTTTTGATTAGATAGTTTGTTGCTAAGCGACGACGTATATTGTTGAGCATTACCAAAAAAGGAGTGTGAAAGCGTTCTCGGCAGAGTGACAAAGGGAATAAGCATTTTATAGTTAGTGATTGCAAGGACAATGGCCAACCTGCATTTTCGGGTTAGCACTTCTAAATCGATTATAGGAAATGTTATCTAAATAACTTTACATACTTCGTATATGAAACAGCGTTGTGTAAACGTAGTCTCTAACTACATCAATTGTACTTTCCCAAATCGAAAGTGTTTGAGGCTATTTTACTTTCCAGTTTGAGTTAATTAATACTTAGGTTTTCCTTATATTGTGATAATATAAGATGCAATATGGAACTTGTATTCTGATATCTGATTTGTTGTCCTAAGAGGATTGTATGCATTTCACTTGGTTTAGTCAGTCTCTTCAGGTTCTTACTTTTTATGCTGGTCCTGTAGTAGACCTGTGTATTTCGGAGCTTTCAAGCCGAATTCAAATCTGTACGTTATTACAAAATGTTTCCCGCACTTTAAGCTATGGGTGCATTTTAAAAGTGACAGTCTTAGCTTGGATTGTGGATGGTTGAGTGCTGGTGACTAGCTGTCTTCCTTCTGAGCGGTAATTCAAAATTAGGGATGGCAGCAGATAGTCTTAGTAGCTTTGCCATAAATATAAAATACATTCTATTTTATATGGGTGCATGTTTCACCTTTTTAGGTTACTTTTATCTAGCCTCGTTTAATAGTTTGAGAGTATATACTTAAAACCAGTGCTATTTATTTCAATAACAAATTAACTTTAAAATTTGTTTATTTGTTGTTACATGATGATTATTATGATTTACTTAATGTATTTTAGATAAACGAATGGCAACCATGCAGCTGCATAACATACATTTTACGATTATTCCAGAACATTTTATTTCAGGCACGATTAGTTAGTCATGTTTAGGGTAAGCAGTAGTATCTTTGAGAGTCATCTCGAAAGAATACGCAGAATGTTCCATGATTTGGGAACTGTTATAAATTGTGTGGAACAGCTTTCAAATGATTTGAAAAGAGGTAAAGGCAAATATATGAAAAAGTGAATTAACCAAGGGAATAACTCAATTCGAAAAATAGCTTAGTGAGGAGGAATACAGTAACTACTAAATTAACTAATAATCAAAATTAATATATAACTAAATTGATACTTAATTGCAACATCAGTGAGTGTTAAAATACGTGTTACATGGCGAAAAGAAGAAAGAAAAAGCAATTAGAGGTAATCCAAAAAAAGCATATTGGACAAATCTTGTTTCTCAGTATATAAGCAGTTGCAAGGAATTGAAAGAAAGTCACAATCAATACAGAATAAGTGGCATTGAAAATGGATTTTTCACGTTTTGAAGAAACTATTAAACTCGACATTTTTGATATTGGTTTATGGCTACGGAATATTTGACTATTGCTAAGGTCAGGGGTATGATTGTGATGCAAGTATGAGAAGATTTTTGAGTCTATTTTGCTGCAACTAAGCAAAATGATTTTTCATTCCTTGTAGCTGTCATTCTTTGAATCTTGTATTTTATGGTGCCGCAAGTTCTTGCAGTTGATCAAAATCTTTTTAAAGTATTTCTTCTAATAATATATACTGTGTTTGTAGCATCAACTAGCAGATGGGCTATTTTGGAGTCCTTTGTCAATATCACTCATACTTTTTCCGTCACTAGATGTAGTGTAGTAGTAATATAGACAAAAGGTATGTTAGCAATATTAATAACTGAAAGAAACTACAGTGGATATTGCAGGTTATTCCGAAGCTGGATCATTAGCAGATGAGCTAAGGTGACGTTTAATTTTGTTTTGTTTTTTTGTGATACTTGGTATTGTTAGTAACTTAGCCAGTGGAACATGGAAACCTGTTTTCAATATAGAGAAAACGTTTTCGAAGGTGCTAAATATCGGTTGCTCTGGAATTAGCAGAGTTTCCTGTCAGACAAAAAAGTGCTTTGCTAGTTACGAGTCTGACGATGAGCCAATTATTACTCTGAAACAACAGTTCAAAACTATTTTGTATGTTGTATTGGACTGTGCTTTAATAAAACTAGGAGATAAATTTGAGCTGCTCCCTAATTACTTGTCAGTTTTTTATCCATGTGTGATGTTAAACTATTCAAAATGTAGAACGCTAGTTCAACGTTCGTGGATTTAGATGTAGCAGTATCCAATACTGAAACTAAGTCGGGTATCAAAGGAATTCGTTTAGCTTTTGAACTTCAAAGTCTATGTACGATTTTCACAGAAGTATTGAACACTCTTAAAACACTGCATATAACTTACCAAAAGTATATTCCATTGTGTGCATTACTCTCAAGACTATTTACAGGTTCAGTGACTGTTGAATTTTTTGAGTTTTTCAAAGTTTATATTAATTAAAATTTATCTGAGGTTATCCATATCCCAGGAGTGCTGGTTACACCTTATATAGCAAAGAATGTTGCAGTGATGTTGAATTTGTAACAAGAGCAATTAGAAAGTCAATTATCACACTTTAATGAATATATATAGAAACAGATGAATACAAACAATTTTGAAAACCAAGTACCGATTTATTTCATTTTGGTGTTCATGAAACAGCAACTTGTGGTATTTGATGTACTTTGGCATTCACAGGTAAAAGTTCAGAATACTAGGTATTGCAGTAACGGAAGGATTGAAAAAGTTTGTTTGTTAGAGAATGAAATAAACACGGAGAGCAAAGGAAAGGTTCAAAAACTTGGGTAAAAAGAAAGCATCGACGTTTTGTTATACATTTCTATCATGAATTGTAGTATGTATAAATATTATAGTTTAGGATGAATAACCAATCGTTTTACATTTTATATCAGATAACTGATCATTAGATATATGGTTTACATAATGGTGAGGTAAAGGAGAGGGTGCAGTTAGTTTTGTCTTATCATAGCTGTAGCATTACAAATTCTGATTAGCAATAGATTGTTTTGTGCACTATGTATCCTAATAGAAAATTAGTCAACACTGAATATTCCAGTTGAACACTTAAGAGCATATGTATAGCAATGCAACGGTTTCTTTATATTGAAACAGGTCAAGTGTGTGTGAAGAGTATGAACATGTGAGCCTATATTTGTAAAATTACAAGGTAACTTGTCACTTGGTGTTATAGTTTGAAGAGCAAATGTTACATTGGTGCCAACATGGCTGATGCAGCTTTCACAGTTTTTCTATATTATTTGTTCCACACATGGCTTTCCCTCATTGCTGGTGTGTGATATCTCATTGCTTTGCACAGCTATAACATTTAATATTGTAGACAGACAAACCAAGTTTTGCTGGATGGCTAACCAAACATCGGGTCCACTGCAAGACCAACTTTTTTTTCTTAGAATAATCTCTTCAGTTATCTCTGTCCAAAATAAGTAACATGTTCTAGACTTTCTGAATGATCTTCTCTGTTAATCTGTCAGTTTATAAACGACATGGTATTGTCATAGTTTTACTATTCAAAGTGTGCTACCAAATTCTATGAAGAGTTGTTCTTCAAAGCTAATTTGTTTGATTGTGTGGATTAAACCTGATTTGCTAAACCCTTTTGGCCAGTGCATTAGTTAGTTTAAGCACTTGTTTCAGGGGGAGTAAAATCAACAGCAGTCAACAAGTGTTGATCTCCTCGTTTTTTCTGGGTTAGTAGTTCAATTAAGTCAGCAGTATTTACTGCTGAGGTAAACCAGCCTTTTCCTACTGCAGTTTGCCTTAACTGCATGTTACATGATTCATTTATACGTATCACAATGTATTATGAATAAACTTAGAGTTACTAGCTGCTTTATAGTCTTCACCTATGATCATTTTCGATGTAGTGGTGTTATAGTAATACTGGGCTTTTGTACTGGACTTGCAAACTACTGGTATAATAATTTCTTTTTTTTTATATTATTTCAACTAGTATTTGAATTCAAAACCTCTTGCACACCATCAAGTGCTATACCAACTGAGCCAAAATGTTAACCTCCTAGTAATTGCTAGTAAGGTACTTTTTAACATGGCACCTACCTACACTGGAAATGGTACTGTGTGATCAAAATAACTGAAGTGAGAACTATTTTCACACTTCTCATTCAGATTTAGATTTTTAGCCTTTAACTTGTGAAGATGATAAACTTCAAGAGGGAAGGATAACAAAAAGTTCAAATGATTATAGGAATGAAAAACAGAGGTTATTGCTTTAGGCGATTCTTTAGTGCTACATGTAGATAAGATAGTCTATGAGGAAAATAGGGAGAAAAGAATTAGGTAATGCTATCCAGAATAGGGATTTGAGAATACAATTGGAAGACAAGTGATATAGTGAAGGGTACTAGTAGTGATACAGTCTTTGTTGTGCAGATGGAAGCTAATAATGTAGGGAAGGGTATGTCAGAGGAGCTAATTGATAAGTACAAATTATTGATAAAAACATGCAAAGAAAAGGGCCATAATAACTTCTGTTAGGGATACTGCCAAGATATAACTCTGAAGATGAAATTATAAGTAAGTCACTAGGGCTGAATACTAGGCTTGGATTAATATATACGGGCAAGCAGATTAGCTAATTTTATTTATGGGATTAGTTCAATGAAAAGAGGGAGGTGTATATTTAAATATGATATGGGCTGGCTTGTTTGCAGAGATCTATTAACTCAACAGACTGATCAAGCATTTTCTTAAACTTCCTTAAATCTACTGCCTCTACAACATTCAAAGGCAACCCATTCCAACTGTCCTGTTAGAAAAATGAAGCTGACTTAACTGAAGATGACTCCTACCCTGCCAAAATTTATACTTGTATCTCCTGGTTCTACTATTCTAATTGTAATGTATGAAAAAAAAGATGATGCACCAACACTATAAATTCCCTTTTCAATCTTAAACACCTCAATCAGACCCCCTCCCCCCAACTCTTCTTTTTTCAAGAGAAAATTTTAGAGATTTCAACCTCTCATCATATGACAACCCTGCAGTCCAGGCACCATTTTAGTAATCCTTCTCTGAGCCTTTTCCAACATTTCAATGTCTTTCCTAAGGTAAGGAGCCTAAGACTGAACACAATATTCCAAATGTGGTCTAACCAGTGACCTGTTCAATAAAATTATAACCTCTTTAGACTTGTATTCAGTATTTCTGTAGATACAACCTAAAATCCTATTGCCTTACCACTAGTAACAGCACACTGCTTGGATGACTTTAGCGACTGATTGACTATTGCACCAAGATCCCTTTCCTTCATAACACTGTTAAGGTTATTCCCATCCAAACTGTATTTGTAATTTAAATTATGATAACCCACATGCATTATCGTGCATTTATTATAGTTAAAACCCATCTGCCATATATTTTCCCAACTCGCTAAATTATCTAAATCCTTTTGTAAATCCGCAGCATCCTCTTCACAGCTAGCAACATGCAAAACATAATATCATCTGCAAATTTAAGTAATTTATTGTTTATTCCTTCATCTATGTCATTAATATATAACTCAAAAAGAGCAAAGGTCCTAAGACTGGGCCCTGAGGTACCCAACTTGTAGCGTTAATCCAGTTTGACTGAACTACATTTGTAACAACCCTTTGCTTTCTTCCATCTAGCCACTCTTCCATCCAGTTTGCTAACTTATTACCCACATCTACAGAGATAATATTTTTTACAAGACTTTTAGGTGGCACTTTGTTAAATACTTTCTGAAAATTTAGATACACCAAATATACACCATTACCCTCACTTACATAAGCAGTAACCTTTTCAAAGAATGTCAAAAGATTTGTAAGGCAAGATTTTCACTAAGTGAAACCATGTTGGCTATCCAATAAATTTCTAAACTTTGTTAAAAGACTTTGCAAAGCATCTTTTACCAGACTTCCCAAAACCTTTCCCACAACTTAAGTAAGACTAATAGGCCTATAATTACTATAATTTCATGATATCCTAATAATTATCACCATACTTTATAAAATCTCCACTCTATTTATTAAAGGTGGATAATAACATGGTTTGGATTAGTTTTCAGCCAAAGAGACATAAATATTATCAGATGCTGTCATCGTCTGATGGGTAAATCAGGATTTTCGCTGGATGCTGCCAGCATCCATTGAAGTTTAAAGAGTTAAAGGAATGTTACATGTGAACCAAAGTTAAATGAAATGCAGAATGAATGTATAACTACAAACAAACAATCAATTAAGTGGTTATTCCTATTGAAATTCATGTAAATTTACTTGTATGTCATTAAAACAGTAATTGTAATAAATATTGTTCAAGCTCATTAAAAGTATATTTCAGATTTAACTGTATTATTCAACAGGCTGCAAATCTTAATGGCTATAGCATCTTTGAATCTTAATATTCTTTCATCTGTTTCTTTAAATAGAAGGTCTAATTGTGTATATTTGCGTCATAATGATGAACAAATAAAACATCTAAGTAAGTTTCCATTTCTGAAATAAAATTCACTATATACACCAAGTTTCTGTTGAAGTAAAATTCATGCTGCTTCACTTAAACTTTGGTCCCATAGGGTAGGTAAATCCTCAGTATATAAGAAAGATATTGGGCGTAGAGTAAGTGATGTAATATATGGGGTACAACTAATAAACAGGAAGTTGCAGCACATAAACAATGTTTAAGAGTTTGCTAGGAAGATAGATAATATTCACTCTTTGCATGTTAAACATATTTTTGTAACATTTCAGTACATGAAAAGGACGTATTTACTCCAATTCCATTCAGTTCACCTCAGAGTGACCCATTTGGAATGGGGGATTTCCAGCCTTCATTTCTAGACACAAAAGAGCTGGAAACAGCTATTGGAGCAATTGACAAGAGATTATCTGAAATGAGGGTAAGTTGATGTTGGATAGACTTTTTGGTTTTTAACATAGTGAGCTTATAATAATTCACTTGTAATTTGTTCCATACATGAAAAAAGCTTAATAAATGTTATATTAACATTTATGTATTCAGATCTTCAACACCACTTCTAGCTAATTTCAGGGTGGTTGTAGCATAGATACAGATAAATGCTTATGCTCAGAGTACACAGTGGGTAGATACTTTATGCCAGTGTTTCCCATACTTTGGCTCATGCCCTACAGTAGTGAATGTGAGAATTCTCGTGCTATTCCCTCCCTGCCCCAGGATAAACATAACTTTCATGTTATTAATAGCTCAACAAAATACAAAACTTAATAGAAAATATATGTATATATAACACACAAGCATAAATAGAAAACATGTCATTACACTAACATACAAGTGTGGCAGAAAAAGTGGCCCATTCGCCAGAGCAACGTTACTGGCACTTACCTCATTAAATTCTTGACATTATATTTTTTCACAACCTATTCATTCCCCCATTTAGAATCTTTCATGTCCTCCCCTCTCATGCCCCTCAGTTTGAGAAACACTGCCTTATGCCAAAGAAAAAATGAACTTTTTTTTTAAGGTATATAGTATTTAATTTTGGAAAGTACTACAATTTTTTGACTAACACATGATAAACATCACAATAAAACTGCTAATTTCCAAAAGGTATTTTAACTGTGATGGTTAATTTTTTCAGCAACAAGAATGCAAGCATAAGTAACACCAGTTATAGCTATGGTATTAAAGGAAAGATTTCAGTAGTAGCAGCCTACAACGAACAAAATGTAGCCGCAATAACATATTATAATACACTGTTATTTCTGAAAATTTGTATTGGGTCAGTTAAAAACAGTGTGTGTGAATTATTTTCAGTGCTTTTGTGACTTTTGTCACATTTTCTAATATAAAAATAAAAAACACCACCAAAATTAATTTCCTGTATCAATATTTTTTAAAAGCTGAGATCATGTTGTAGTAAACATGACATCTATCCTAGCAAGTGGGTAAAAGAAAGGTAAGATTTAGATATAAAGCTGATTCTCAAAAATAGATTAGATGTAAAAAAAGAAAACATCATAGTGATTGTAGGCCACTTATTGAATATAAAATAGGTTCAGCAATAGATCTCTAATAATAATTTCATAACTATTTAAGTAAGAGATAGGTTTTAGGATATTGTTTTTTGAAAATTTCAATTAATTAGTACACTTTACTGTATTTGAATCATATGTCTGGTGACTTGTATTTTAATTGTGTATTTGACCAAATCTTGAAGATTTATTAACAACAAAATTTATATATAATTAGAAAGTAAGGATGTCACAGAGTAAGTCACGAAATAGTAATAAATATCTTTGTACTAAGACTATATTTTAGTATTTAATAAATAATATTTCAGTCTGTAGGAGTAGGTCATCATCAAAATAAAAACATTTTGATCAGCACAATGCCTTTTGTTGAAAAAGTCAGTGAAAACCTCATCAATCTGTGGAAGTACTATTAAAAAAACAACATCAACATCAGTATTTACAAAATCCAATAAAACTGTTCAAAAAAAGTAGAGCCAAAGAGTAATTATGATATTACTTTAAGTAAAGTTCATGTAACCATTCTTATGTAAGTAAAACTGATGAGACATGAAAATCACAATAAATTCTTTGAGGACCCTCATACACTTTTCAACACCAAACATGCCATATTTGAGAACAGTTAAAATTATATGTAAGAAAACTTACCTGAACAGACAGAAAATAGTAGAAACTCTGATAATCAAAGGCACTAAACCTTTACTAAACAAATATCAAGAAACACCTTTAATTTAGTAGCAGTTGGTGAATCAAGAAACTGAGGCACAGACACTTAGTGGCTAGAGGATTTTTAGAAGCTATGTTTTACAGAAAATACATAGGAAAATGTTATAAAGCTTGCTATTAACACAATAATACTTGTACCAATTATTAACACTAATAATTACTGTGGTCAACTTGGTGTATTTTCAGTTTACAATATTCATCCAATAATTATAATCAAATGATTTTAAGCCATGTAATTATAGTACAAACACCAACATTTATAGTTGCAATTTATTATTCTAAGCCTTACTAAAGTCATTGCATACACTCAGTAAGTATGGAATTCAAAGTCAGTGAAGCATAACCAAATTATAAATATTTATGTAAAAATAAGCAACTTCCTAACAATTATTTAACACAAATGCAAATGAATGAAACCAAATATCTTTTTACCTTTACTTGTAGAAAAAAGTCTGCCTTCTTTTCGTTTTGGATCAAAGCAAAATGGTCAATGACATGGTTGTACCAACAAGGGTCCTTTTGTAGAGATTTGACAATTCCCTTTTCAACAGATAAGAGCTCCAAGTTGGGAAGACGTTATTGGCTCATTGTGTTTCTGGTGTAATTGTTTAATTGCTTGAGACAGTAGAAACTTCTCTCCACACCAGCTGATGTTGCTCCGATGGTTGCTGTCAAGCACATGAGCTTGTATAGTTCATGAATTGTTTCATCAAGGCCACTGTCTTTATAGTAACAAAGTAAATCTGTAAGTTTGTCACTCTTCCCTTGCAAGTCACTGTGAATAGAAAAGTTGTAGCTCCAACTTCAAACGATCCATGTCGAAAAATCTTCCATATCTTTCCTTTAAGCTAATAAATGCTGCACGTGGAAATGCATTTTTCATTGCAGCGATTCTCTCTGGGTTTAAATGTTCAAGGAAATGGGTTTCTTCAATGCTAGCATAACGATCTCGAATCTGAAGGATGATGTTTTCTAATATAGAATAGTATAAAGCATGATACTGCCGTTTTGGGTCTTCATAAACAGCCTCAAACCGGCAGCTTTTTCTTGAATGTTGTGGCACAGGATCTTCAGTTAAGGTGACAGCTTTTTGATAGATGATTTCAAATGATTGTTTTGACTTTTTCTCTTCTATGGATCTAAGCAGGTTATCGACCCTGATTTTGCAAAAGGTAACATCCATGACTTCCTTCTCCATAATGTCAGATACTGCATCTGTGTCAAAGAAGACCTGGTTGTAGGTAAACAGCAGGAACACAAACTCAAAATCTTTAAGAATTCGAATGAAGCCACTAGAGTGCTGATAGCATCGTCATCATATTCCTCTGACTTTACAATTTTGTGAAACGTATCCAATAGCTTAGTGTAGCTATTGAAACAGTTGAAACCACACATGAGGTAAAGTACCAGCAAGTTCGAGCATTTGTTGATAGTCGAGGAGCATTGCAACCCATTTTGTTGACTTTAAAACAAAATCTGAGAATCTTCTAAGGTGTGCAAAGAAAATTCTTGCCTGCCTGATGCACTTTGCACCTTGAATTAATATGAGATTTAGACGATGAGCATAACAGTTTACAAACACAGCACTTGGAGCTACTTCTCTTACTTTAGATTCTAATACCTTTAATTCAGGTGTCATCACAACAGCTCCATCATAAGTCTGGGCAACTAGTTTTTCCTTATAATCAAACTCGGTCATAATTTGATTGACAAGATCGAAAATAGACTGTGCATCTCGACCAGAATTGATATCAAAAAAGCCAAGGCATCGTTCACGTGGGAGCCCACTTTCATTAACGTGGCAAATGATTATAGAAAGCTGGGCATGACAAACTATATTCGTGGTTTCATCTATCTGCAAAGCAAAAAAAAAGGAGCAGCTTTCACTTCTTCTCTTATTTGTTGAAGTACAGTAAATGCAATTAATGAAATCAATTCATTCTGCATTGTTTTTGAAATTCCTGTACATACTGTAGACTGGTGGATATATATGTGTACGACAATTCATCATAACGAGCAATTAGGTCAGTAAGCTCCCTGTAGTTACCTTTGTTTAAAGAGTCAAGGACATCGTCGTGTCCTCGAAACAGCAACTCTTGGCAAGATTGGAATATGGTAGCATATATCAGGCGTTTAATAATGTCTCTGTTGCTTTTTACGTTTTCATTGTGTTTTGCCATTAGAAGCCGTGCTCCTTTGTCTAAAGCATGCGCAGTATGAACTTGTCCCAGCAATTTTAGTTTGACCTCAGCACTAACATGTTCTTTGGCCTTTGCGTGGCATTTAACAGAGCGATCCAAGTTTTTCATATCACTGAAACCATATTTTGTCGATGTAAGCAAATTCCTAGAGGCAGAAAAGAGTAAACAGGGCCAACAAAACAAATGATTATTAACTGAACCACCAGTCAGCCAATCCACACGCTCATACAACTGGCAGTAGAATGAACGGTGTTTGCCAGAATTATTCTGAATTTAATTTATATGTGGTTTTGGGCCTACCCTCTGATTTTATTTTTATTTTTCAGAATATTCTAATAATCCAAATGGAACTTTTAACAGCCGATCCACAGTGTTCTCATCCCGCGTGTTGTCAGCCATGGCTGTGTAAGCTTGTTACACGAGCTTCCATTCCAGCTCAGATTTACAAATACATATTTTCTTAATATTTTCTTTTATATTACTATGTTACTTCGCTCCTCACCCGTCATTTGTGGAGACATGAGAAATGAACGCGCACAAACAATGACAGAGCTATGAATGAGTGGGTTCATCTAGCACTAATACGTTGGAGGCTGGCATCCCTGTTTTAAAAGACGTGGCCAACAGATCCGGGCTACTCCAGTCAGCGCTGTTCAAGGTGTAGACATCGGTTATGTACCAGTTAGTCTAGGCGGTCGAGCGTTAGTTGTAGGTACACAGTCAATGGTAGCAATCGAGCACCATATTGAAAGAGGAGACAGTCGGTTGCCTTAGTGTTATAAAGTTAAAAATATTAATAATGATGCTTTTCGTGTAGATACAACTTCTTTTCTTGTGTTATAATTAGTTGGTGTTCTGTTCGAATATTTACAAGAAAGTAAAACAACGAAATATGTTCAAATATTTAGTTGTCTAAGCATTTTTATTAGTTAGAGTATGAGTAACGACGATAGATATTTGTGGCTATGTCATGCAGAAATGCTCAAAGTAGAACATTGCCAGTCCATCAGTTCATTCCCTTCTTGATAGTTAAATAATAATTTTTTATATAATTTCGAGAAAATGAAGAGGAATTCTTTTAGCGAAAAGCGGGAAGGCATATAGCAGATATTTGGTTTAAAAAGCTTAGATAGTATATTACGGAGAGTCAGACACAATTAAATGAAACATTTGTGCCACAATTTTACCCGAAAAGCAATGAGCTATCTATACTCTAGTCACAGTGGGTATCAAAACAGACCTGCTTTTTAGTGTTAAAAACCTGCAGACTTGGGGGGTGATAATTTATTAAAACAACTCCGAACATAATCACTTTCAATTTTAATTGAATGTACTTTGGTGTCGTGTTTTATTCTTAGAGTACAGAATGTTGTGCATAGTAATCTAAACATACACAAGATATGCTTGTCACATTCCTACTGAGTACAGTTCATGTGTTTAAGTACATATGGTATCAGACCGTATGCAGAATGTTGGAAAGGGGGGTTCTAATTTGTGAGATCAAAAGCCAACACATTGTGCGAAGTACGATCAGCATGCTAATGATACGGACGTCTGGGGGCGTGCGACTGTTTCAAGCTAAACGAAAATGCCAATAATTCATCACAAAAATGTAGACTCTGCAGAAAACGTTAAATACCAGAGGCAGCTGCGCTATAAATATACAAGCATAATTTTTTGCATCACAAAAGTAGGGGATTCGCCGAACCCCCCCCCTCACACACACACACGCACACAACTTTTCCACAGAATGAAAGCATCTCACTTGAAAAAGATTATTGACTTTTACTGCTCAAACTGATGAAAAAGATCATTAGAATTCCTTATTTTTCAAGGAATACATATGATGAATCTTTAACATAGTGACAAGCTTAAAGCTTCCTGGTAAATAGTAAATCTAACAATTGGGATAACTTGTTTATAAGCCACCCAATAATAATGTTTTTAATATCCCGTGAGAACTGTTTGTAAACTTTGAAGTGTATTGCTGTAATTTAAATCATATAAACTGTTAATCTATAATCAAAGATAACTTGATGATGGCTCTGTTCTATGAGTTGAAATATGATTAATTAAATATTAAACAATAATCCTAGTACAAAGCTGTTTATTGTTCTACAAAGTTCCCAAATATTCTTTTTTTACCTCTGATTTCAAATGTATTGGTGCACATGTAGGTATAGGTCACTTAGTGTTATGAAAATAGTTTTGCATTGTCATAAAATATTTACATTGTTACTTTACTAGTTTAAAAAGTTGTCTGTAAAAGTATCATTTTGGTAATGAGCTAATTAAAAAAGATGTAAACTTGCAAATTATATTTCAGTATTGTAAAATTTTGAAATGTTCATTGATGGATCTAGCTTTTGTAGTTGAACAAAATGGAGTTTTGTAAAAGTTATTGACTTAATGTATAAAAATACTCATTTGTGAAAAATAAACCAAATATTTTTTACTGAATCATAACACTATGACCTAGTATTAAGCAAATTAAAAAAATATATATCAGTATGAATTTGTATTAGTAGAATAAGAATATGAATTGTGTGTACAAACTACCAAGCGCCCCCAGTGGCACAGCAGTATGTCTGCGGACTTACAAGGCTAGAATCTGGGTTTTGATACTCGTGGTGGGCAGAGCACAGATAGCCCATTGTGTAGCTTTGTGCTTAATTACAAACAAACCACCAAAGAGGTAAAAACAAATTATTTATTAGATAAAAGCTATTGTTATAACAGAAACAAATGTTGTAAGTAGTTTTTAAAATACAACTAAACATAAAAGCAGTGTTGGAAAGATGTATTTCAAGAGAAAGAAGTAGGTAAAAGATTTACCTAAATGAAGATAAATATTCAGACAGTTTTAACAGGTGTTAAACTCAAAAGTGCCGATCTACTGGACATTTGAGAAGATTGAAGAGACAGTCGGGAATTGTTATGAGTTTTAAGAATTATTATTTGTAACAATTTTGCTGCCCTTAATCAGAAATCTTTCAGTACCTGTAAGGTAGAATAGCAATTGGAAAGGAATGATGTTTGAAAAAAAAAAACATGCATGAAATACACTTCCTTTTAACTAGGCTTAATCACAATTTTCTGTTAAAAAAACCTAGCCTGGGGAGTAGGGTTTTTTAAAACTGGTTTAACTGAGAAAAGCAGTAAAAAATATACAAGCCATTAAGTATCCTTCTCTATTTTTGAAAAGTTAAAAAGCATGTTCTGCCAAATTGAAATGATTAAAAGTATTATTTATACCAGTAGAGCTTGTAGAGTATCTTTTAAGTAAATAAGTACCATCTTCTAATTTTTCAGAGTTTTGGAGAGATTTACCACCTTTGAACTTCAGTCTCTTTCTTTCACATAAAAATTATTGTTTAGTTGTGCAAGTTAGTTCTAATACATTTCTTTCTTTAAGTTACTCATATTAGTTGTCTAATTAATCTTATGTTTTTGTTTTTGAAAGGTGGGATTTAGCCGAGGACTTTCGTTTGGAAATGATGACTTTTCATTGGAAACATTAGATCCTTTGTACAACAAAACTTCGTAATCAACTACGTATATAAATTTAGAAAACTTAAAACAACTATCATTAATAGTGATATTGAAATGGCTTCATTACTAAGTCAAGTGTTATGGTTGTACTATAAGGAGAAACCTATGAAAAAAATAAAGATGTTTTATAATACTTTTAGATTCAGCACTCTTGGCAAGAACCGAAACCAATCTGAAGTTGATATTAAATGATACTTTGCTTAATATTAAGTCAACTAGTTTGTTTTTAATGTGTTTTCACCAGATAGTATATTTCATGGTTACTATTGGAATGATTGGTTGAGGTTTTAGTACATACTTATTTTTTGATTGCATAGATTATTGCTTAGCTGAAGGTGCTAAAAAACTACAAAGGAAGTTAATGTAGTATCTTTATTTTCTGTATTTCAGTGTTAAAAAAAAGGTATTTCATGTTTTATTGCAGGAAGAATATTTTATTACACATTTTCAACTATACTAGAAAAAAGTTTTAGATGTAACTGTTATTAATACTACATTATTATTATGCATTTCTGTTAATTAGTCTGATAATATGTATTATTTTTGGATCTTTCAAGTTTGTGATAGTTTGTAGTAGATAACATACTTTAATATTGTTAAGCTGTAACTTAAAGTTGATACAAGTGTGAAAGTTTTAAGGATTAAATTGATTAAGGATGAATGTGGATCTTTCCATTACCATGACTTTTATTTTCTTAACTGACAAATGTTTTTGTCAAATCAGTAGTATTGGGTTTTTTCCGTGTTATTTCTAGCATAAGCATTATTTGTAAAAGTGACCCAACATTTAAATTGTTTAGATTACAATAATTATACTAATTTTTCTGGGGGGGGGGGGAGGGAATATCTCATTAATATGAACTTCATGTATTAATTTTTTTAGCTTTCTATAATTTTTATTCATCTAACAAAGTGTCTTCTCTCTCTTGAAACTAATATAGCAAATATATATCACTGCTAGTTTCCGATTAAAAACTGTTTCAGATACTTTTCATATCGACACTGGGTAGTATCTTTATGAAGAGCCAAAATAAAAGTACTGCGTGTAAAAATTTCTTAAATCATTGCTGCTTATTGGATCAATGACTTAATTGTAATACACAAAAAATTCAATGATTTTGTCCTCCAGTTTCATTCCTTCCCCAGTATGTTTTACTGAGCTAGCCATTGCAGAGAATAGTGTAAAATGATTATGTCCTCCAGTTTCATTCCTCCCCAGTATGTTTTACTGAGCTAGCCATTTCAGAGAATAGTGTATTTTTGTTAGTGTAATCAATATCTGAAGAAGAACATTTTTAAACATTGGTTTACAAGATCAAGTAATTAACCTCTCAGTCTTGACATTATTGTACTTTAATCATTAGAAAGCTGAGTGTGGTCTAAGTTATTAGTAAAAAATACAATGATAATGATAACAAGTTATGGTCAAATTTTTAAATACCTGTTGGTAAGTTAAGTGTTAATTAACTTTGTCAGGTAGCAGAAAAAAATACAAACATTTGAAAGATATTGAATGGACATCATATCTGGTGAACTGACATTTAGATGATATTTTAATCCACTTCCAGGTATCTTCATTAGGACCTGTTAATACAAAAAAAGTGGGCCTGAATACCTGAACATTGCCTAATCCTTTGTTCACCAGTCAGAATGTTCATTTCATTAAATTTCAACTATGCACTACCTACTAATTGTGTCTTTCAAACAATATGAACATGTATAAAAGAATATTTTATTTTGGTTGAAAAACATGTAAAAAAAAACAAATATTTGTATTTTCTACTAGGTGTGATTGGAAAATCATTCATTAAATTTCATACAGCGTATAATAATATCATTTATCCACATTGAATAATTTAAACTATATGTATTCAATATATAATATAACTACAGATGAAGGCATAAATTTTAGATTAAATACAATTTAAATTTGGGAACTCACAGTTTTTTTAATTCATAAATCATGGATTGTGTTATTGTTTGCTGGGAAATTAAAAAGAAAATATTTATGAGAGAATTATTTTAATTTTAACTGTAATTAGAACTATCAAATGAAATTTTAATTTTTGAAATATCATTACTTTTATCCATTTATTTTATAATTTATTGACAAAAGCTTTTAAATTACTGAGATAAAATTATAAAAAAAATTAAAATATCTATTTTAAAATCACTTGAGGTAATTGTTGAAGGAAACACTGACAAGTTAATATTTATATTTTTTCTAATTCTATGAAATAAAAAGTTAAAGGTGATTGAGCATTTCTTGCATTACCTTTGTTAAGACTCATAGATGTTTAGGCATGTTTTATAAAGTGTATTTGCTAAAGGTACTGAAAGATTAAAAATCGAATTGCAGTTTGTTTAACTAGTTGATAAATATGATTATAAAATACTGAGGTTAAAAATCAATTTAAGTTTTGTGAATGAATACTAATAAAACAGTATATGCAATATTAAATATGCATCTAAAGCTCAAACAGAATTATACATTTTAAGAATTCATTTTACAAGTGAATTTTTTAAGCATAATATAAAAAAAGAATGTATACAGAATTTAAATTACTGTGAATGTTTTGTGAGATAATAATTTAACAGTTTGTGTTTATTAAGCTTCCAGAAATATTTTAGAGATCATATTTCCATATTATTTTTTACAACTATGACTAACTTAAACGTTTTACAAAAAATATTTTTATTGGTAATTTTTTTTGTGTGTGTTTCATTTACCATACATGTATACCTAAAGGGAAGGAGAGAATTATATGACAAAATTATAGTGAAATTAATGTGAGAAGTAACACATTTTTCACTCCACGAATTATTTTTATTATGGTCCATGTAATTGATTTTATGTCTAGTCCTCAGAACTAACTTGTGTAACAATAATTAGTATATAAACACAAGATTTACTTCTATGTATGATCAATTATTGATCACATGTGTTGCATAATGTGATTTATGATGCTTTGTTAAGACCATTGTCATGTCTTTAAAAGTTTAAGAAATCTATCAAATTTTTTTAAAGTATCAAAATAGCTTATCACAATTGCATTTCATTTTTACTTTGGTAGTTTGCAAAAGCAAGTTAAGTTCTCATCCAATCAGTGTGAGGTAAAATATTAAAATTTCATACATTTTTGTACCTTTCACTTGATCAGTTAGAAAACTTATGTATGCTGTTGTTGAAAGTTTATAAGCTATTTTATCTTAATTTTTACATTCTATATATATATATATATATATATATATATATATATATACTACACTATATCTATTTAGTTTTTAATTTTAAGTAATTGTTATTAGTCGTTCTTTGAGTATATTATTTTATTATATACTACATACGTATACTACTA